AATTAATGCCCTGTCTTAGCAGTCCAAGTCTTCCTGAATGTCCAACCAATGCAGAAAGAAGCCAGGGCAGTTAAGGCCTCTGCAATTAGAAGCTGCCCTCGCTGGGACAGAAGAGCCCCTGAGCGCAGGTCGCATCTAGGGCCAACATGAGCAGAAAGGGGAAACAGCCAGTCAGCCAGGGTCGGATTCCTGCTTCCCAGGGCTTAGGGAGGAGGGCGAACATCCTTATTACTGATGGTACCCTACATATTGTTCTTCCAGGACTCTCCTATGAGAGTTTGCACACAGATGTCAGACCTCAAAAGACATCTCTGGTCTGTAAGCACTAAGGCAAAGGAAGTTGACAACTAAAGGGACCAACATCAATGATTATCGTTACTTAGTGCCTGACAAGAAACTATGGCTAAAAGCAATTTAGAAAAAGTTCAGCAAAATGCACAAAGGATGCATAAGGCCACCATCTCATCTAGAGCCAAATGAGGGGTGGGGACAGAGCTTCCAGAGCCCAAAGTGGGGGGACCCTCCCTCAAATCCCTGCCACTCAAGAGGCAAGGGTCCTGGGGGCTGCCACCACATCAGTTCTCACTTTCTTCATCCCTGCAAATATAAAATGCTACCAGTACTGATTTTGCTACTACATCTATCTTGGCCAGCGCATGGGGGAAGGGGGGAAATATAACTAGTTCAGAATTTCAATAGGTTTTTCTCTCAGAATTGTTTCATGTGAATTCAGAATTTCATTAGTATTCGAGGCCATGTTCTGCCACTCAACTCTTATTAAAGAGGCACTCCAACCAGTTATATTTCTTTTTACCCATGTTTGTAAAATGGTAAACTCCCTGAAGCTATTTGAACTGCAGTCTTTGTACAGACAGCAATAATTTAACAAAATTCACATTTGCTTTCATTGCTTTAAAAATGTGCACCCATTGATGAGGGGAACTGGAAAATATGGGTGAATGTAGTAACCACAATGTTGCTCAAGTGAAACCTTCATAAGATTGTATATCCATGATATCTCAATAAAAAAAAGAAAAAGAAAAAATGTGCACACACACAAACACACACACACACTGGTCATTCAATCCTTATTTAACCTTAGGGCACTCAAATAACAGGCAATAGAATAACTTAACAGGCAAATCAAGTCTTGCTCATGCTTTCCAAGTACTTTAAAAACCTTAAGTCAATGAATGTTTTCTAAAGTATCACTACCAGGAAAAAACATACACACACACAGAAACATTTTATCATGTAGTTCCTGAAAAGATTTTTTAATTTTTTAGAGTCTCAGGAAACTTTGCTAGTTTTGAGTCTTCTAGAAAGTAAGACTGTCTGAAGAAACTGCTGGAGGAGTTTAATATGGTTTGGGCAGTCGGTGTGGACATATTAAAAGGCTACTATTCAAAGAAGAAACTACCCAGATCCTGTAACACACAAGGACTGCCTGGGATGTTGATACAAGCCTGGCTTGGCCAGCAAGCTGCCTACAAATTTGCTAAAGAGACCACTCGTGTCCCCACTGGAAATGAACCTGCTGTGCAGAGAGATATGTCACACACCTAAGTATTCCAGGGTCTAGGCTGAATTTGGGAAACACCAAGGTGACTTCATGGTTAGTACCAAATGTTGAATAAATAACAATTGGCTCAAAAACACACTGAGCCTCTATTCTGCTCTTAAAATTATTAGACACTGTGGAGGAGAAATATAAATAAGATAGGCTTCATCCATATGTTAAATAAGAAATATAAGAATTAAGAACAACCACAAAAAGGAAAGACTAGGACCTCAGAAGGCAAGAACCAGAACTGAGCCTTGGTGAAGGGGATGATCCAGACATATGCGAAGGGACGGCATCCCAGGCAAGAGAACGCTGGAGAGTAACGGCTTGGCGGGGTCATGCATACAATGCAATCAAGGTCACCAAACAAATCAGTTACAAATAAATGCTCAGCTCTCTCCAAATATTTACTGAGGCTGTCCTACGTCCTAGGGCCATTCACATTCTCATCATCCTGGTAATCATTCATATAAGCAAACTCGATGAGTGGACGTCATAACACTTCGCAACACTTGCTCTCTCGCAAAGAGAACGGGATCGATAGGGCAGTTGTTCCTGTGGCTCCAAGTCTGCAGAGGCAGCACTTCCTTTGCCTGAAGCAGCAAAATTCCTGGACCTGGGACATGACAGCATCTCTGGGCTCTATCCCAATAAGGAAAATGGGAGGAGGCACCCAAACAACACCCCAAAACAAAAAAGCCTTACTTCCTCAGAATGAGCAGCATCTGCTTTTCCTTGATGGCACCCAAAGTATTAGGGGGTTCAGAGCTAAGGTAAAGATGCCCTAGGTTGACACTGACTTACCCGCAGTTTCCCTCCAGCTAAATCCCACCTTAGTAGTGGTTTGACTCTTTTAATTGAAATAAGTGATTTAAAACAGTGGGCCAGTGTAACCCAATAGTAAAGAGATGACACAAGCCTATCTGTGGGTTTGTCTGTTTGCTTTACTGTTCAATATTCACCACTGCATTTGCAGGATTTAAGTGACACCTTCCCTCTGGACAGGTATAATGAGTAAGCCATTCCCAAACGGAAAAGCTGTCCTGGTCAGCAAGTCAGCCGCAAGACTCTTTGAAAAGAGCATTAAGTTGTGTCCTTCATGGATTTAAATGGGAGAGATAGTGTTTCTATTCAACCAGCTGCCCTCCACAAAAGGAAGCCATACCTAACTTCAGCAGGAAAAGTGCACATTAAATTACTTCTGAAGCTCCCTGAAGATTGAGGCTTCTAGGCTTGGGATTGCATTACAATTAAGTAATAATGAAAGAGAAATTGTGTCTTTTGATCAAATAACGCATTGATCCTGCCATACACTGTGCGTCATTATTCGCTCTCTGGTCATGTTGACTTTCTGAGGGAATTTTTCTCTCTCAGTCCACACAGCGAATAGGAAAAGAGCGTGCACCCAGGATGCCAATGGAAGGAAAATGCTTGGATGAGAATCAGTATTCACCACATCGTGAAGAATATCCAAGGTAGTTTTAATGAAAGGGCATAGCTATTTCATAAAGTTCAGCAGATACAAAACATTTTCTATGGAAAAACCACATCCCTCCTGAGGCCCAAATTCAGGAGGTCTACTACTACCTGAGCAGCACTAGGCTGCAGTTTATGAATCCTCTTTAGTACCTAAGACCAAGTTCACTAAGCAATTAGCAGTATATCGAGACTCTCCATGGTGGAATTTGAGAACCAGTTTTTCAAGCACTTTAGGAGCATTTATATATACCTAATATGCCATTAATCATTCTTACCTGTTCATTAAGGCAGACTCCCTCAGGACCCCTACCTGCCAGCTCTTTCTCAGCCTGGTTCTTTGTATCTGCATACCTGAAAAGGAGCCCATCTCTTTTAAAACATTTTGTAATTAAAAGATTTCATTAATTCACAGGGGTGTGCTCCACCAATGAGTCTGCGTTTTCAGTTTTATTATATACACAAAAGACTATTCTCTTGAGGGTCTTCGTGTAAGACCAACCATGCAAGTGAAGCTTGCTTTTGGAATACACTTTCAGCACCGGAGAGATTTAAGACCATTATTTACAGTATAATATAAATCTGTCCATATCCATACATGTTGCTTCTTTCTGTCCCCACCAGAAAGGGGGAGTGGCTTTAGTTCACAATGCACTCTAACTGGTCTAAAGTTGGGGGAGAGAACCGAAAAGCAATCAGTTTTGAATGACACATTGGCAGTTACGTGACTTTACCTCTGCCTGCGACTCCCCCACACCCATGTTCAGGCCTCTGCTGGTTCCTGGGTCCATCCATCCCAGCACAGCTGGCAGCGAGGCCCCAAGCAGTGCAAGATGCAGCCAAAAGTATCCCAACTTCACTTTGTTGAGTCTGTTGAGAAAACAACAAATGCTCAGAATTAAGTGTTGTAAAATGTAAGAAAGTCAGACTGGCTGGTTGGTACCTGTACTCCAGAAGCAGACAAACCTTAATTTAAGTCCTGGCACCAACCCTTCTGTTCTACTAGAGAGATGTTATATTACTTCTGAGGTTTAATTTACTCACCTCTAAAATGGGATCAGTTTTGTGTACTTCACAGGCTTGCTTTGAGGACTGAAGAAGTCAGTGTTAGCACATAGTAAGAACTTTTGTCAATGCCAGCTGTAAGGTACAGACTGACTTGAAATGCCACTTACCACTACATATCTACAGGAACAAACTAGGGTCAGGAAACTGGGTCACCCCCATTAGGTTACTATATATCTATGCTTCAGTTTCTTCAGAGAGTATTTGGGGCTGGGCACACAACTGGTACCCATAAGTGCTAATGAGGAATATGTTAAGTGTGTGGCACCCCTATTATAGCTGAGGTCTCAGGTTATAAGATAGTGAGGCTCAAAGCGGCATGTAAGGCCTGATATTTTCATTTCAAGAGTAGTCATTCTTATAGCAGAATCCAAGCATCCAGTGGAAAACGGGATTTCAATAACCTTTAAGGTGTTTCCTGAGGCTCACTTGATAAATTATCTCAAGTCCTAGAAGACAAGGAATGGGCCATTCAAAGTAATCAAAGAATTACATGCATGAAGAAGTTAAGGATCAGCTACAACTAACAGTCAACTTCTTATCATGTTCTGGGCATTGTATTAAGGGGACAAGGACACAGGCAAGCCTGCTTTCCAATTAGCTACACTATTCCTTCTTTAACGTTTCCACTATGAACATATTCCAACCTTGAATTCAGTATCTCCGTGTAGGAAACATAGCCAGATAGAACTCATCATGCAATATTTACAACTCTTACTCAAGGAAACTTTAGGGGTTATTGATTTCTGTGAGCACCAGACAACTGAGTGCCTAATTGCATGTGCTGCACATTGCATCCTGATCATGATGGGAGATGAAAACACACAGAGCTCCTTGGAGGCTAGCACCCCAGGGGATCTGACCCAGGGCAGGCACAGAGCAGGTGTCCCAGTCAGAATTGATGAGCTGCCTGGGGGACATAACTGGTTTTTTGAGGAGTCCAGCCCTGCTCACTCCAGTAACAACAGCTTTGGATGCCCCCTCAACAAGAGATGCTGGGCATGTCACATGATCACTAGTGCTGCTGGCAGGACTGCCAAACAAATAACGCTCATGCCACATTCCAGGGTTTTCTTTGACTGCCTTCCATGCCTAAATAGAGCTGCCTCTCCAGATGTCCTTTATGGCCCCAGTATAAGACAGAAATGCCCACAGGAAGGAGTCAGACTAAAAGCTGTGGCATCTAACACTGGCCTTTGAAAAGGCAAGGTTATAAGCTATGACTATCTTTTAAGAAAAGATATCTCATCTTAAAAAGAGGTCACAGGCTCCCACTCCTACATTTGTTTCTTTAGCCATTTTTCTTTGACATCTGCTGTCAAAGCCAGAGTTCCCAGGGAAACAGTCTGTGTCCAGTGAGAGTCTCTCTGCTGCCCCTGCTCCACACTCCGCAGGAGGCCGAGGAGAGAGGGATGGCGCGGCTTTGGCTGCTGCCCTGGGCAAGGCTGAGCCTTCCTGGCAGCCACCTGCTATACACCCCTGCTGTGCCGCTCTAGCTCCTGCGTGCGAATTCTTACAGGAGCAGTGAAAAATCACGCTTAGGACTAAAAGAACAGAAATATGTCTTTTAACTGCAACCAGTTTTTCTAAAAATATATAGGGCAACTCCCTACTCACCCAAATTATCATCTTCTGAATGCAGAGCCATGTTCCAGAGACTGCAGAAAGCAGTTACTGGACTTCTGGAATTTTTCAAAAACTCAGCACTAGTAACACAAGTTAGTGTCACTACCCTGCCCTTCTTTTATGATTCTTCCCAGCTTATCCACTCTCCATCACTGCTCCTGGGGTAAGCACACATATAAAAGTTCCTCTTCTTTCCTTGTTTATGTCTTTGAGCCTGAATAAACTACAAACAGAGGGATAATAAAATCTTATTCTAGTTAATGTACAGATGTCAATTCTTGGAGTCATGAAATATACAGGCCACGAATAGTTTAGTTTTTAATTTAACTCGTAATCCCAGACCAATTACATCTGATGTTTTATTATTAATGGAGAGCATCAAAATAAAATCCACTCATTTCAGTTGTTATTTTGCCAAGCTCCAAAACACTTCATTTAAGGAGGTGCATCCAGGCTTCTCCACTTTAATCAGCTGTTTTGAGATTCCAGAAGCCTGGGCTCGAGTCCTGCTTCACTCGGAGCGTCTCTGGGTTTACCTCATTCCTGGTGAGGTCCCTGTAAGCTTTTATTAAAGACAGGGAAACACATGAGCCAGGCCAACTACTCAAATATTCCTAGGCAGCTTCTTTGTAAAATTAGCTCAGCTTGGCCGCCACCGGGTCAGGCTTGATTTGCAAGGTAGATGCGTCTTACATGTCATTTTATACTCGTGATGATTGACAATTCATTACACCTATGGCCGCAACAGCCTAAAAATTTACAACTCAAGTTTTATGACAGTTTGGTTCATGGAAAAAGAATTAATACTGGGCTAAATCAATTTTGATGATCTATCTAATAACCAAATAGAGACTATTGATTTGGTTAACACTTACATAGCAATTACTTTGGGTCGGCACTGTTCTAAACACTTCACAGGTGTGAACTCATATTCCTCATTTCTGCCCCATGAGGAGGGCAGTGATTATCCCCTAGTCAAATGACAGAGGGTCACAGAGAGGGTAAGTATCCTGCCAAGGACATGGGGCAAACAAGTGGGAGAGCCAGGGCTCCAAGCCAGGCAGGTGGACCTGGGGTCTGTGCTCTTAACCTCTATCCTCTCCCGCCTCTCTAGGTAGCAGTGTTTTATTTCAATGAACAGTTGCTATTAGTAAGATGGGAAAAATCTATGAGAGCAAGATAGGCAGTCCTGAGCCACAAATCTCTCCTTTCCTCTGAAAGCGGCCAAGAGCTGAGCTGCTCCAGCTTTCATGGCTCTGACTAAGGCCTGGGAAGCGGAGCAAGAGGAAAGAGACAAGCTGCCCCCGCCTCTGCCCCTGAACCCAGAATCGAGCTGCTGTGCACACTGTCCTCAGCCCTCCCTACTGCTGTCTTTATTGATGGAATGTGGTTGAAAAAAGAAACCATGAGGAAAAACACAGAATGCCAGCAGCCAAGGATGCCCTCAGCTCACAGGCAGTCCCAGCTTGGTAAAGTGGGGGAAGTAGATCTGGTGACTAATTACTCCTCAACTAGCCCTACTGGTCTTCAGTCAGAAGGAAATATAAGAATCTCCCCATTATAGAAATGAGAAAATAACCATCAATAGGTCACAAATGCTCTTTTTCAACTTAGAGTTCCTTTTGAGATCAGTTTAGGTTTATAAGCTTCATTCAGTCCATGCTAGGGTCCTAAGATTGGTTATAAATCTACCTGAGATTGTTCTCACCAAAGAGCTGAGGCTACCTTTTCTTTCAAACAACTCATAAAACACAATCACTTGCTAGATAAGACATCCTGTTCCCAAGACAAGTACTTCACTGCTTCCTCCCAGGTTTCCCCCTGAGCCCCACCTTCCCCCACTTTTCCATGCTCAGGAGAATCAGGCACCAGCCTGGCTACTGCACACACAGGACACCAGAAGCCTGGAAGGTTGGGGAATGTGTGGGGCTATGTCAGACGCCACGCTTAGACTAAAACCCAAGCAACCCGATCTCCAGGCAACTGTTTTGTTCCTTACACTATCACAAACTTACACGTGGAAAATGTCTGCATTCTCTGTTTAGACTGATTTTGCTTTCTTAGTGCTGGTTGGGCTCCACTAGATCATCTACCCTCTCCTTGCAGAAACTAGAGGATTTCTGGTTTTATAATATAAGCTGATATCTGAGCTATTATTTATTTGCCTTTAAAATTAGAGAGGTCCTACAAATTTGTATAATGTAACATTCCAAATAGTGACCTGCTTTTTGAAGAAAGTTGGAAAAATGTGACATGAGCATGCAAATGACATAGGTGTGCATATGTAAATTCCAAGCCTGCTGCCCCAGAGAACACTCACAGCTTGGAAGTCTTTTCTGAACAGGGTCAGAGGCCAGAGAGAAGCACTGACATCAGACTGACAGTGGGTTTAATACAAACTTCTCTTTTCTCTTTTGAGAACAATGCCTGTTTGGCAAGAGTCAGATTTCTGACCCTCAGCACTTTTGGAGAGATTGTTCGCAGGTTCTCTCTCTCTCAGCCTCTCACTCAGAAATACAGTAACATTATCGAACCAGAGGTTATGGATTAGCCACATGGAAATGGCTTCCCATTGTTACCCACAGGACCAGAAATTATGAAGCGATTTGGCAGAACCAAGCGACATCCTCTAGACTTGAAGAGAACAGTCGGGTTTGTGACCCCAGGGCACCTGCATTTCCAACAATGCAGGTTGGCATTCAACAAACAGAACCAACTGGAAACCATCCTCTTCTGTGCCTGCCTGATGTTAAAAGGGAAAAAAAGACCATATAAACCTTAACCTAAAACCATGACGCTATATATTAATTTCTTCTGAAAGATTTAGGATCCTAGTTTTGATTTGTGAAGGTTTTTGGAAGAAAGGGGTTTAAACTAAGATAGTCCCTGAAATACCAACCCAGGGAAATCAGGCACAGAAATATATCAGGCTAACCCTGCGGAAAGCCTTAATGAAGTTATATTGCATTTCCCATTAATTATCTATTCTATAGTTAATTGTTCCAACATTTGATAAATTATATGCCTAATTTAGTCTATGTGTAATGTATAAATCTACAACACTCTCATTTACCATGATGTGTATCACACATGCGAATGGCTTGCAGGAACCCTCACACTTCCAACATTTACATTATACCTCTTAAGTACCACATTCTCTCAACTGCAATTCTATTTTACCTGAAGTTCCATGCCATGTGTTAGGCATTGATAGAAAAATGTAAGGACAGATGTGCTCTTGAAATAACTACTTAATTTCATTAAGTGAGTAAGCACACAATTGACCACATATAAGCAACACAAGAAGGTTGAGTTTGCAGAGAAATATCAAGAAAGGCAAAGTAGAAATTAAAACAGATTTTATGAAATCCTGACTATTCAATGTCAGTCTCTAGAATATAGTGTTAAGTCAAAAGATCACAACATGAAGATCCCTTCAACAACAATGAAAAATCCTGCATTTCCTAGAAGGAGAAGGGAAGAATCCTGAGTAACCTACAGGTCAAACAGGAAAAATCCCCACCCTCCCCCACCCCCAGGACACAAAGGGATAAAAGTTCTCCCAGTGCCCAGAAGAACAAGCTAGCCCCACTCTGGAAGAAAAAGAGCCTTTCTAGAATTAACAAAAATTGACGGCAATCAAAAATTTTTGAGAGAAAAAGCCTCTGGAATGACTTCAATGAACAATTTCAATACATTAACAATATATAGAAATTATCTTCCTGCAGGACCTTTGGCTCAGTCTGAAGTCTTGGGAGAGGGAGAGGTCTTTTCTTCCTAGCATGGTAAAAAGCTAGCATTCAAAGGAGTATGTCTGAACAGAAATGGTCTAGTGATGCGGCAGTGTCTTCTCACAAAACCAAGACGGTAAGCAGACGTGGGCTCTGTGGGGCATCAGCTCACATCTCCCATTTGAGCTACTGCCTGAGGGCTGCTGGCGCTCTGGCATCCTATCACCCCCATCATTCACTCCCCTGACCAGCTGCCTCTAGGGTGAGCGCCACCTGACCACTGCCCAGACGAGAGCCTGTCCTGCAAGCCAGAAAGGGTAAGCACCGAAACCAGCACACTCCAGGATGAGGAGAGCACTGTTAAAACTCATCTCCGACTTTCCCCTAAGTTTAGTGGTAGGAAAATAACTTGGGACTTTTAAGAAGAGTCGGGATTTCTTCCCGATCCCTCACAGATGGTGATACAAGCTCACTCCCGGTGCACATTTCGGTTAAGTTACCGTGCCGTCTGCTACTCAGATTCTGTTTATGTTCAGCCCAGAGAACGTGGACAAATGTTCGTATCTCGGGGGCCTATCTAGTACAATTTCTGGTGCACAGGCTTGCTGCAAATTACGAAGCTACAAGCTACTGTCGCTGTTTTTCGCTCGCCGGAAACCTCGGCGGAAGCGACACCTAGAAGGGAGCGGTGGAGACGCTGCGGAAGCGCTATTCATCGATGTCGGCGAGTTATCTTGAGCTGGGTCTGCGGGATCGCGCACTGGGGACCGACTCTGCGCCACACACAAACCTAGCGGGGTCCAACTCCGCCGGCGCCAAAGAACTTCAGTGCGAGGCGCTGCACGGATGCTGCCCACATACGGCGTATTATGAGAAACGCTACACCGGCGGGAGGGTTTCTGTCCCTGCAAGAGTGGCAGGCGCTAAAGTCCTCAGGTGGCACGCCGCGGGCGACTGCGCTGGGAGCTCCGCTTTGTCAGCTGGAGGAAGCCCCGAAGGGTGCTCTGCGCTCGCCCCTAAACTCAAGGAGACACGCACCCAAAGCTCAGTGCTCTGCCTGCATCGCCTAGGTCCCCCCAAAACTTGAAGCAGGTTTCCTTTGCAGGCGCGAAGAGGGATGGAGATCATCCACAGTACAAGCTCTCTAAGGACCACGCTCCCCGGCAGGACCAAGCCTGACTTGGTAGCGACTCCCAGGCAGGTTACACCGCCCGCCCGCTCGCTCGCTCAGAACAGCGACCAGCTAGCTAGCTGGGTCGAACGAGAGCCGCGGGCTACCGGGAGCCGGGGTGTGTGCGGGGTTCCTCCTCCCCAGCCTGCTCGGCCCCAGACTCCGTGGACCTCGGGGTAGGGAGTGCCAGGCGAGCCGCAGCGGGCGCTTCGGGCTGCGACGCAAGTTTCCCTGCAAAGCTGCAGAAGGAGGTAGGGAGAACGCTTGCCCCGCACGCAGCCCGGGGCCAAGGACACGGGACCGAGCCGAGGGGCCGCCGCTCACCTAGTTGGCCGAGGCCTCTCCGGGTCCGGAGCCCAAAAGCAGCGCCTGCAGGCAGGGTCTCGGAGGCCGGCTCCGGCTGCTGGCTCGGCCCGAGCGGTTCTGCTCCGCTCGTCAGCCCGGTCACTCCGGTCCCTACTGCAGACCCGGGCCACAAGCCTCGGCTCCCCAGCCTAACTTACCCAACATCCTGGCCAAGCCCTGGTCCCGTGGCCCGTGCCTGCCGCCCGCAAGGCGGGCAAACTTGTTCTCCCGGCGCGGGCGGGGAGGACGAACAGGCACCCGCGCCGGGCCCTGCAGGGAGACGCGGGGCCGCGGGCGCTGGGACACCGGCGGAGCGCAGCGGGACGGGTTGGTGGAGGCAGCGGCGGCCGCTTGGCACCCTCCCCGCGCCCGCTCTGGAGCTGCGCCCGCGTACCTGCTGCGGCCTGGGCCGAGGGAAAGACCGGGTAGCTGGACTTGGGCGGGCGGGCGGGCGAGCCCGTGGAAGCGGCGGCGACCCGGCCCGGCGTCCTCCGGCCGTTCTCCTCGGCGGTCGGCGACTCCCGGGCGCGCTGGAGGCTGCCTCGGCTCAGGCCCTCTGAGCCGCCGCGGCCCGCTGCTGAGCCACAGCCGCCGCGGCCGCCCTATTTCTGCCCCGGGGCCCGAGCCCGTGACGTCACCCTCCGCCTGCCCAACCAGCCTACTGAAATTAACTGCAGCTCCTCCCATCCTGGCAGGACTGGCCCTTCCCCTGATGAATTTTTCTCCCAGAGCACTTATTTTCTTTCAACATATTCTGCATTTTGATTTTGTCTCCCTCTTCTCACTGAAATATAAGCCCCATGAAGACTGGACTTTCACCTAGTTGGTGCATTACTAAGTCCTCAATGCCTTTACTGGTGTGGCAATAGATCTATAAATGTGTATTGATTGTTTGATTTAATACACAAATGGGGCCACAGATTTAGAGAGGGGAGGGTCCCCAGCCCAAGTTAAAAGATAAAATTTGTGAAGCTCATAGGGTTAAGGAGCGTGGCCAGGCTGGTTTATACAACGATCCTAGAATATTTTATTGAATTGTGCCCTCGTTGCCTTAGTAAAATGAATAAGAAGAGAAATTAAAAGAAGTCTGAGATACGAAGCAAGTCACCGGGGCACTACAAGGAGAAAGTCTTTAGCCCTGATTTGCTCTGCATTGGACCAGCTTGTGGACTTTGTGTTCAACTGCAAAGTAGAAGAACAAATTGCATGACTGTGAATGAGACACCAGAATAATTTTGCTCTCTTAGATTGCAATCACCTTAGAAAATGTATGTCAATTATTCACTTGTGCATATTTAGCCTCTGAAGATCTTTTCAGAAATGTATGACATTTGAAAGAAAGAGGGTACCCATAAATTCTAAAGTAAAGTAAGTGGGATTTAGGAAGGTAAGCATAGGTTTGGCCCAAGCTGTAAAACATATATATGTGTGTGTGTGTATGATGTAGACACTGAGAAATCAGTAAGTACACCCTGCCAGATCTGGAAAGGTGTTAACTGTGGATTTTGATGGCAAAGGAACTTCACTGGCTATTTCACACAGCCTTGAATTGTTTGAAATTTTGCAATGAGGAAGTTTCACCTACTACTATAATCATCAAAAACCTTAAAGCTACATCCATTGTGAGGAAAAAATGTGATGTCTCATCATAGCTTTCTGAGACCCAGGGCCATCCCGCAGGGCCAAGCTCTCTGTCCTCTCTGGGATGCTACTTCAGGCCAATGCGTGGCCTTGTGCCTGCCATACCACACCTCTGGGCCTTATGTATCGATCCCTAAAATTAGGGGTTTGGCACATGCCATTCCGGCGAGCTCTGAAGTTCTCCACAGTGGACAGAGGGCTCAACCCACAATCCAGGGCAAAGCAAGTCGCCTACCAGGCGGGAGCCCTTCCCAAGGAGCTATCAACAGACAAGCGAAGTCCTGTCTTAAGAGAGACTGCCCGGTGACACACAGCAGCATGAACAAGACTAATTGATCATCCTGATTAATAAAGTGAGACCCTGCCCCAAAGGCAGCCTAAGCCTCAGAGCTCAAAGGTTCAGAGAGAAACAGAGTGGCTCTGACATTACCCTGTGCTCACAAGGATGGAGGTGAGAGCCTGGCAGCAACTCAGAAAGGAACAAAATTGCATGCAAAGAAGACCCAAGGACACAGTGAAGCTATTCTTATTTGGTGCTTCTCAGAGAGGCAACTTATCCTTCTAACATTCCTAACACTTATTTTATTCTTCTAGTAAATAAAAAAATATATACACTTCCTCAACTCAACTGGTTATCGAAATAAAACAATCATGGAAAAAAAGTAAAGGTGTTGTTCTTTATGAAATGGGCCCTTCCCAGGGCCACAGCGATGTGCTTTGCTAGGAGACAAGAGCCATGTCTTACCAATGGGTTTCAGCCCCAGGCAAGTTAGCTATGGATTCAGTGTGACCAAAAACGTAAGAGTAGAATGTTCTTGGGGTGAAAGGGTTTATTACCTGGCTTGTTCTCCTAGTGGTAGGATGAGCATTGGTGTCTCTGACCTGGCCCAGAGCACTGGGCCAAGCTCTCTATATAGTGCAATAAGAGCTTATTGCCTAAAGGGGTGGAAGCGGTAGCCTAGCAACAGGCCAGTTACATCATCAAGTGGTTTAAGTTCATTGAGGATCCTGGCCATAGGAACCCCAACTTCCCTACACTCCACCCCTCCAGGATTCTCACCTTATAATCTACATGCTCTGAATCTTCCACAATGGTCCCTGTGCAAGACAACTGGAGCACTGTAACCAGATTCCACAACAGCAACAGAGGCTAACAACAACTTAGAGATAATAATAAAAATTAAGATACAATAAGATTTTGATACAGGTAACAAAAATTATAATAATCCTCAAACCAGAGGAGGTTCCCAATCCACAAAGACTTTAGGGGTGATAAGACACATGTTTTAATAACACCAACATAGGCAAACCGATATCCTTCTGACACAGGTAGAGGCCCAATATACTCTAGGTAGGATGCATGCAAGAGAGTGGTCCTCTGATAGGACTGTAACAGGAAGGGGGTCCTGTCCAGCTCTAGTATACCATACTTTTACTCCTCTCCCTGTGGGGGTTACTGAAGGGTCTATATATAGTGCTACTGGAGGTACATGCACTGGCCATAATGATAAAAGAAAACTCCCCAGTAAAACGTTCCTACTTTCTGGCAGTTCAGGATATACTACTGTGACCTTTGGTGGCCACTCTGCTGTTAGTCCAGGAATAAACAGGAGGCCAGCTACCAGGCCTTGTCCCCAAGGTGCCAGGAGAGCCAGCCATCATTGGTTCATGTGTCAAAAGGTCCAAGGCCATGTCGACTCAATGGAGTCTCCAGGGTTCAGTGCAGTTGATGATAGCAGCAAGATATTATTCAGGTGGCCAAACCTCAGCTTCAGTGATTTTTGCCTTGGTTTGTACTTGCAGTTGTATGGGGGAGGCAGCCATATGTGTTAACACATCTGTGGGGCTCAGGGCTCCCTTTTGGGGTCTCTCATTCAAACGCCGTAGCACGGTCCATAAGCGGACTGACCATCCCCACAGACTATTGGTATCTAACTTTAGCCTGGATTTTAACAAGCCATTGTGCCTCTCTATCATGCCTGCTGGGGTAGGATTGTATGGCACATGAAACTTCCAGTTGATTCCCAGATGTTGTTCCCATTCTTGCAGTGTATGTCCAGTAAAATGGGTGCCCTGATCACTCTCAATTACCTGTGGGTGGCCGTAGGCTGACAAGAGACGCTCCAGACCTCTTTTGGTTGTCTGCTGGTCTGCACAACAGGTAGGAAAAGCAACCGGAAGTCCAGTAGCTGTGTCCATACAAGTCATGGCATACCGATATCCCTCTAACACAGGTAGAGGCCCAATACAGTCTCTCTGCCACCTGACGAGGGGTATTGGCCTCTTAGCTATTGTCCCATATTGCTGTGGAACTTGGTGTAAGTCCCTTTTAGAGCATACGACACACTTCTGCTGGACTCTACTAACTTTTTCAAAGGTCGAAGGCAAGCCCCACCTCTGGACTGAACACAAGATTCCCTTCCTGCCTGCCTCCCCTTATTCTATGACTCCAGGCCCCTAATCCAGACAGAAGGCTCACAAGAACATGACCAGGAAAAAAAATCAGCTGTATTTGTGAGACTGGTCAAAAGAAAGCCCAGAAGGCATTTTGGGGAACCCAGGAAGTCTCTAGAGCATCAGGCCCGGCAGAGACCTCCCTTCAACAGACACTGAATTTTCAGAGAAAATACCAAGACTTTATTTGAGGGTGAGCGGGGATCAGAGTGTGGCCAGGATATCAGGGTGAAGAGAAGGGAATGCACACATACAGGCCATCAGTGGGGACTCTAGCAGGCAGTCAGCTGAGAGAAACAGCACAGAGAGAGGATGAGAGGGGGCAGGTGGCCAGATGGGAGGGGGCTCTGCAGGGGCGCTGGGTTTAACAGTCACCTTCATGGCAACTAGAAATGAGTCTGGAGCTCAAGGCAGAACACCAGATTGAAAACTCACTGAGAGATCATGGCAAGAAGGTCAAGGGACGGCCAGACCACTCAGGGAGAGGATTCAGAGAGAAGAGACAGAGGCTAAGACCAGAACTTTGAACAATACTTGTGTTGATGAAGAGGAGGAAAACTGTTTAAAAAATCAGTAAAGCAGGAGAAAAAGTTGGGAACCTAGGAAAGAAACACCAAGTAGAGGATTTTTCACAGCTCAGTCTTCCTCTACATGGGGTCCATGTCTGGGCCCAGTACCCATATCTCCACAGGCAGCTGGTAGGGATCCCACCACCCATGATGGGCCTGACTCTGAGCTGCCAGGACCATGGATATTGTCAACTTTAACATCCTGAAATTCAAGTGTACAGGTTGCTGGATAGGCTGGGAACAACCACCGCCCCTGCCCCAGCGCCAAAGTGCTCACAGAACGCAGTGAGCATCTTGTGGGGGAGGTGCCCCACCACTTTCAGTGATTCCCAAAGGGCTCTGTGAACTCACAAAGGGTAAGAAGCACTGCTCTAAATAACCAGTGAGGCAGCAGGCACTCTGAACTCGAGCTCAGCCTCAGCCTGACGTGGGAGCAAGGAGACCAGACTCCGCTGAATGAATGGGAATGGAATTTTGCCTACACTTTGCAGAAGAAAACCACTGGAACCACACACTTGGCCTGCCATTGATGCAGGCACACCTCTGGAGAGAGTTTCGTTCTTGCGTGAACGTTTGCTCCTGTGTCTGCCCCAAGACCACTGCCAGCCTGGCTTATCTGCTATGTGGAGCTGCAGACAGAGCCACCAGCCAGCAAAAAGATTACCATGAATTCTCCCTCAGAGCACAGAGAGCCTTCTGATATGGGAGAGGGGAAAAAAAGGAAAAATAAAGCTCCAATTTAAAAGCCTTTGAAAAGCCTTTTAATACAAGGAAGTTAGTGTGACTGCTGGGACAGCTTGATGCTCGAGGAGACAGCCATTTTTGCATACATTTTATATCAGGTGTTCAAGGCTCTCTGGGTCTGTCCTGTGGCTCACAAAGACTGTTGTGTGGAAAACCACATTACTTCTCCAAATAGGGCACAGAGTCTGAGCATCTCAATTTTGGCCTGCTGGTCTTACCAGCAGCTCCTGGTTTCAAAGTGGTTCTCCAGGTGTTGCTTTCTAAATCCACAAGAGAACCACATGTGCCTAAATCTACTCAATAGCCCAGGTACACATCAGAGGTGTCAGGATCTGAAATCATTCTTGGACTCCAGAGAAAAGTACCCAACTTTGCCGTTCACCCTGCCTCAGAAAGCACTTACCACACCTGATCCAGAAAGCCATCATGCCTGCCA